ACCGACTACTTGGATAAGGACTCCCACGAGATGCGACTCTTCACGAGGGATCAACAGGGAGTGATGATGGCTTTCGGCGTTCGATTGGGCTGGAAATCATTCCTATCGCTTCTCGGTCTGTCGTTTGCGGGGCTTTCACGGTCCTGCAGGTCGAGCTCACCCGATGGACATTCCGTAAGCGAGCCTCGTGTTGATTCCTCTCGGGTACCACCCTCCTTCCCGATCTCTCCTCTAACCCTTCGTGATTCACTATTCGCGGCATGAAATCGGGAGCTCGGCTTCCAAGGCATGAACTAACGACAGGAATATCGGGATGCTGACAATCGAGATAGACCTGTCAGCCCGACTGCTGGTTCCGAGTCATCTCATTCTCGCGACGAGTCATGCTGAATGTCAGCCGCCGAGGGTATGCCGAAGATGATCCGGCAAACTCGGCAAATCCAAAACTCCGGCGAATCCGGGAAGAACTCCGGCAAATCCGGGAAGAACTCCGGCGCGGTCCTCAGCGCTCATTCCAGAGGCCGAGTGCGACGGAAGGGAGCTGCGAGCGCAGGAATGAAACTGCGATCATCATCTGAATGGGTAATCAAATAAAAATATTTCATGAGACATTTGGGCTCTCGAGCTCAGGGTGTGTTTTGAGAATCCGGCTCGATTGCAAGGCTCGACCCGAGGGTCTGAACTTTGGCGCACTTTCTAGATTCTGACATGATGCATCTTCACGAATTTCGGGCCGGAATTAGAAGCAAGGCGAGTTCTTTCAGGAATTATCCTTCCGATCGATCAGGATGGCTTCTCCTCGATTTTCGCTGTTTTTTTATTATGTCTCCGATCCTAGAAATGAGTATTTACAATTCGGCTGCAAGGTTTTAAGCAAGGTTCGTGACTTGATTCTCCCATTCGAACGGACGACCGACGAATGTGATTGGACGGTCGCTCTTCTTATATACTAAGTAATCTCACTTTTTCACTCCTCTAACAATAGTTTAACAGAAGAAAAAAAAACAAATGACCTCGAAGGTCGCCCCATTATTTGCCGTCTGAATGTGCTGCTGTCGGAACGTGTGCTTGCGACGCTCGACTCCAATTGTAAATCTGACCTGGCAGGAATGGCTCCAGCTTCTCCTCGGCGAGTTCTGCAAAGACATACAAGCGAACAACTTGACGCAACTCTGGATGAAGCTCGTGACTGCCCGTGCAAAGAGATTGAGAGACAATATCGCTTGAAAAATCCAACATTCGCAAAACTGACCGTTATATGCATCAGCTTTCGACGGCCGCCGATATCTCATCAATCTGATTTGAGGCACTGGTAGGAAACCCCTGACGAGAGGTTTCATTTCGATGCTCGATGTATACTCCGCGGAGACCACGTCCCGGGGCTCAACAGAAAAAACGTCTGAATTCTTCCCGAGTAGTGCCCACATGCTTGGATCTACCAAGACTTCCAGATGGATTTGACCTCCTTCGTCGCCGTCGGGACTGAGTCGCTTTATGCGTATGTTGAGTTTGCAAACCGCATCGACTTTGCAATGACCTTGAGATTCGGGCTCGACGGTGGCGTGGATTGAGTAGAGCGTCTGTAAGAAGGCAAGACAACCGCCAATAAATCAAAAGCGTTCGGGACGTCGAATCGAATTAGGCAAAATGCTCGGATATTCAGCTCAGTGAAGAAGTCGGCGACTCTGTCTGCGAGCGGAACACTTACTTTGAAAGCATCTAGTTTGAAAGATGCCGAGTAAACGCCCGTCTGACTGTGCTCGAGCCACTCGAAATCCAAACTAAAGCTGAGTATGAGAGGAACCGCAACATCGCCGTCGGATTCGAGCTGCCACACGAATGAGTTCGAATAGCCCGCGCTCACTTTGAATGGTTCGACCTGCAATGAGGAATCAATGGCGGACGTCTTTTCCAGCTCTGGGACCCGATGAATCATAATTAGCTAAAAGCCTGATGGCCGCCCTCCTCCATGGACTCACCTCAGCGAGGATTCGCGCCCGAAGCCCCGGCGGGCACTCGAATCTAGGGTTCTTGATCGAGAATATCTCCGCGGAATGACCCACGACCTCCACCTGCAGGAATTTGGCGGTATCGCAAGAATGAAGCTTGTGAGTCACGACGAACGGTGGCTTGAATCGAAGTCTGACGGAAGCTTTGACATCATCCCAGGCAGCGGAAGCTTGTAGCTCGTGGATCGCCCCTTTCGGAGTCCACTGATCACAGAAATCACTCCGCAACGAAATGGAAAACGTTCTCGTTCCGAAGGCTGGAATCTCTTCTAAGATATTGATGGAATCCTCCCCGAATAGCAGAGCGCTCGAAGGAGAGCCCAGAGTCACGGAGGACGAGGCCGCGATGGCTTGGCTTCCGGCGTGAAGCGTGAGCTGAACGACCTGATCGACACCAGCCAGCAATTCTGAATTCGGCATCTGTAGAGGGAATGTTTTATTTCAGAGGAATGCTTGAAAACTTCAAATATCGAAGTCGAGTCACACGTTTGAAAGACCGGGAATTACCTCAAAACTGAGTTTGCACTTCTCCTGTATGATGTCAACTTTCGTTCTCAATAAACTGTTTTCCAACTCCTCGACGAAACCTAGATGGTCCCATTCCATCACGACTTGACGGAGCTCATAGTTACCCCATTGGCTGGTTTTGAAGGGCAATTTTATGATATTCTGCCCAGGGGCAAGGTAGATATCTTTGGCAAGAAATAGCGTATCTGATTTTACTCTGACGATATCTTGAGACGACGGTGAGCCGAGATTTGCGCTGTCCTGGCGAGAGAGGACCTGATGCTGGTTGGAACATACGAGCCCTGCCGAGGGAAGGAACGATAAGAGGACAGAGCGATGCCCAAGGATATTTCCTCGCGCGAGCGACATATTCCGACTCCTTTCCTCTCGGGAGTCGGAACACACAGAACTCACCGACGGAATTCGACTGATTCACGTGTTGGATCGTGATTTGGGGCGGGGGCCGTCGAGAGCCTGGACCGAGAACAATCGGTTTACGAGGCATCATTCTGTGTCCCTGACCAGAATCCTGGAAAAAAATATATATTTCATTCGAATTGCTCATCGCGACAAGGTCGGGAGGCGAGATCGCCCCTCTCGAACGACTTTTTGAATCTTCAAGTAGATGGGGTTGCTTTACCTTTCCGAGCTCCGCACACGGAACAGCAACCTTCCTCATCTTGACCTCCGCGAGAAGATTGGACGTTATTGTCAATTTCACAGTGACGTTCGAATTCAATGTTAGAATTGATGAGTTACTTTCGACCTCCAGGTCATCGAGTGAAAATATTCCCGCGAAAGCGAAAGTCAAATTCTGTTTATCTGAGAGAACGAGTGAGCTTTAGATAATAACCGGCTGTCTTCCGATATTTATGGCATTAATGATTGATTAGCGTCCCCGATTTAGAGAAAAAGTTCAACTCACTTTTCATACTCTTTGCTAATCTGTCTTTCGTTGTTAACACGTTGTCGAAAAAGTGTCGGCGTTCCATCTGATCCAACCAAGAATTGGTCGCCAGCAGGAGCACTGTATGCAGGTAGAGGAGATCGTACGACAGGAGCTCATAGCACTTCAAGAGCTGCTTCTGAGTTTCGACTGCCAACGGCACCCATTGTTCCATGAGATACATTTTCAAAAGATCTTGGAGGAATTGGACAGCCATCTGGGGTTCATCTTTTTCGCTGGAAAGGTATCGAGCAGAATGAAATAGTGCCGAGCGCAACCTCGGTGAGCGCGACCTCATCAGGGAATTCTACGAAATGGAAACAAAATGAACGATGCCAGGCATTGCCTGGGTGCGAAGGCACATACCATGGACTGAAACTATTAGAAGGGAGTGATCTCTTATGTCTGTTCATCGGAAGAGCCTATTTTTTTCAAGCGAGCAAACTCTTGTTGACGACTCGAATTCCCTCCAGAATGGATCTGATCGCATTCACGGATAGACTTACAGATAAAACTCAGCCAGATCCTTCCCGATGAGTCGCGCGCTCCGCAGCCTTCCAACGTGTTTGAAGGTTCCCATCGCGATTTCACAGATATCTTTGTAGTGTCGCATGAAGGATTCCTTCGACGAGAGAGCTTCGGAGACTCGCCTGCATGGACTCATCTCATGTTCCCCTGGAATATATTACGGGAAATCTAGATCTCCCTCTTGCTGTCTGTTCGTCGAGTCACACGACTTCGATTATCTGGAGCGTGATGAACTGGGATAAGAACAAGCTTAGGTAATCTTCCCTCCAGAGGAATACTTACCGCTGCGGGGATCGTCTCCCAATCCCGCGAGAATGTTCACCACCAAGTGTATCTGCTCCGAGGACGGTGTCGCTTGGGGCATCAAACCGCACAGTTGGCCCAGCGCTTTCATCTTGAGACGTGCATGAGCCCACAGCTGGGCCGTGTGCAGAGAGTAGCATTCGACCTGGGTGGAGTCGTTGTACCTCTCCGATACCAAGAGAATTTCTAAGAAGGCCGCCAAGGCCCACGCGTCAACAGCTCCGGGTCTCGTCAATTCAGCGCCCAGAGACTTGAGTTCGAGCTGAGCGTTCTGGATATAGGGCAGTACCCTCTGAGCCATCTCCCAAGGTCTGAAAGAATTTCATTAGCCCTGATACTTCGAACGGAAATCTGATTGTATATCCCTCTGTGATCCTATTCTGATTCCATCATCTTCCTCTGAAGCTTTCCTGACGCAGACCGTCCGGGCGACTCACCGGCACAACAGGATGAGGATGTTGCATATCCGAACCAGGAGCATGTTTCTCAGATCGAGGAGGCTGCCTCTTGAGTTTTCGAACGGGCCTCGATCACCAACTGGACAGACGGATTTCATGCAAAGAGCTCTCCACGAATCTTTGCAGTCTGTGAGATTCTGCAGCCACATGGGGCTTTCTTGCTCATGAGCAGCGTTGATAACAAATTGCGTTAGAAGAGCGTCCAGCTCGTCGTATTGGACTAGCGCATCCTCGTATAGTGTCATTGTCTCCAGTACAAAAGCGAGTTGTTCCTGAAAAGTCCGTCAACATAATTCGCATGAGGCTGGATCCTTCTGAAGAGGGCATGGGATGCAAGGGAGTCGATTCCAAGTAATGGCGAAGTGAACGGGAATTCGACTGGAGCAAGCAACTGAGCGAAGGAGGAGGAAATACGGACCTGCATAAAGTAGAAATCTATGAAGCTCCATGCGGGTTGATTCCGTGCTTCTCGTTTTTCTCTGAGTTTGTCCTCATAGTATCCGATTTCTCGATTCAGCGCATGAAGTAAGGCGATTCTAAACTGCCCTATGAAACTATTCAACGATGAAGCGTTTTTGTCCGACCGGGACGGTCGAACGAACGTACTGACTCTGCAATGATACGGTTTGCTTAGTTTTTGAATTCGGTACGTTCCCAGAGAGAGAGAGCGTGAAGAAACACTCCTCCCGAATCCGCCGAATTCAGACTCACCTGTCGATATTCTTACTGGGGAAATCATTCCGAATTTTGTCCCAGACAGTACTCTTCAGAAGTTTCGAAGTAGTTTTGGCCGGAGTCTTTCTCGAGTTGTCCTCGACAACGACTATGAACCAATCCCATTGAGACTTTCCCTTCAAGTCTGCCATCCATACCATAATTTCTTGTTTAACCGTCGAGCGGTACTCGTCAGAGTCCTGTCGTGGTATTGGAACGCTTAGAGCTCCACAATATATCGAAAGACTCAGAGGTTTCAATCGACGATTCATAGGAGCAACGAAGAGCTTGGACTTCAGATAAGGAACCCAGGGCGTGCTCACCGAACAGTCAGTCCAGAACGTGTGTAAATACTGTCGATTGAGAAGAGTCTCTCTGTTGGCACTCAGCTTATCCCGGTCGAAGGGCACCCAATTGGCGTCGATATGGACGTTTTTCGTCCGTCCAAGACTCCGTTTCCATTCTGTAGCTTCGGCAGAAACAGCGGGACAAACGGCCTCTCGTAGACTTTCGAAGAGACCAGGTTTCCCGGCATCTGTAAACAGATCGATAAGTTCTAGCATTCGAGGGCATTCTCGCGGTAATAGATGGACGGCAGACTGGAGCTGCTCTGCCGATCGCGGACCTGGCTAGACCGGGGGAAAGCTCCGAATACAATTCTAGTCGGCTCAGAGACATGCCTTGAGTTTCGCTGCCTCAGCCGAAATCTATGGACCGCATCGTTAAAATGAGCCGCAGAATCCGACTGTGACAGGAACTGGACGCGACTTCAGCGCCGAGTCCTGTTCCCCGGCTGGTGTTCAAAAGATCGAGCGCAGGATGTTGAAGCTCTGATTCATCGAACGACACTTACACCCGTCAAGATCCGCCCCCTCTTCGAAGTCGGATAGAGAGTGATCAATAGACCCTTCGCTCGTATAGCGATTTGTCTCGGGGAATTTTGACAGTTTTCGAGAAAACTCACATGTGACCAACGGTTTCGCCTCCATTTGTGTCTCGAACGGACACTTCCTCAACGACGACTGCTGTCTCCTCCTTTCATCGCTAGTCCTGCGAGCAAGCACTTCCAGCTGATCACGTTCACTTGGGACACAAGTGGTCGCTTGGCTCGTGTCTGGGTTCTTCGAATGTGATGTGATCAGAATCAGTAAACACTGATATGTAACTCCCCAAAACGGACCTCCTTGAGAATGAGATCTGTATGGCGGGGAGGATATGTAGGACAACGCCAGTTCACCATCTCATTATCGATGCCCACATGCCCACACGATATTGAGCCCCGTTTGCGCTCAGGCTTACATAATGTACGATGATCTCTGTTTGAAAGAGGCGAAGTATGCGAATTTCCGGACACCTTGCGTTTCTCGCCGGTGGAGGCGAGGCGGGGGCGCGAGTTGATAATGGGTAGTTTCTTTTCCCGCTAGAGATTCGCGTCGATGTGGATCCTCGTACCGTTCGTCCAATGAGCAACGATCTTCGCCGAAAATAAGGGTACCCAACAACTCGCGCGATATGAGGGGATGGGCCAAACTGGAAGAGGGCTCGAGCTGATTGTGGGATCTGGAATACTCACTGAGACTGACTCAATCTGGTCGTGGAAATTTGGCATGCTCGGATTCTCGGAAATTTGAAAATATCACCGGCAGATGCACAGACTCGAGGACTAAAACCCATAAGAGCTCTCCCGATGTTCTAGGGATGATACAAACTGGGATCGCGATTAGAACTTGCTCTGGACCTGCTCTTGCGGCAGTTGCTGCGGTTGTCTGAGGGAAATCACTGCTGGATGGTGGAAGTTCTTCATCGTCTGCTCGGCGCGGCGCGCGCGTGTTCCGTATGCAGTGGCGTATCTGGGTGAAATGGCGCCCGGGGCAATCGAAGGAAACGCGCCCCCTATGGAACAATTTTCGTTTAAACATCTGTTTTTTTTCATGTATTCATTTATATGCTCCATATTTTATATCACACGATATCACAATGTTTCACAAGGTTAGAAATTAACTTTACGCGCTTTCATCGAAGCAAACTTTTCCACTAAGGCTTCGAAGACCGTCTCTTCCGTCGTGTCTCTCTCTATACTGAGAAGAGATAGATCAACGAGCCTGTCCTGACTCCCATAATTTTCCCATAATTTCTCTCAACTGGGCGAGTTCGTTCGGAGCGGAACGAGTTGTTTAAGCGCCTCGGTCAAGTATTACATCTCCAGATCATCACAAACTGGATTTGTTTTTCCAAACGGCTACATAGATAGTATGAGCTTGATTCACGATTCTGCGCCCCCTGAGATCTGCGCCTGGGGCGCGTGCCCCCTCTGGCCCCTCCCTTGTTACGCCACTGTCCGTATGGATTCCGAATCCGAGTTCTCAGTCGTCGATCAGTCTCCAGATGACTTTCATGAAAGTGCGGAGGACGGCGTGCCCAGGAACTATGTTTTTGCTTGGGCGGGAAATCCTCGCCAATTAGTTTGTGCCACTTTTTGATGGAGGATGCCCGACCGAGAACATGAGCCCTTTCTTTGGCTCGAGACCGATCTGAGAATTCGAGGCGTATCCGGACTTCGGTATGAGATTGTTCTTGGAGAAAACAGGGCCGCAGGGCTCGACACTCCACGTGTTTCTTCTTAGAAAACGCAGCAAAGATTCGGGTGAGTGGGTAAAATTTTTGGATCCAGCGGAAGTCAGGCCTTTAGAATAGAATTGAGCAATTTTCTCGAGCTAGACTTGCCTACCAAAATATGAGTTGTTAGCAGGCAGGAAGAACCCCCGGTAGGCAGTCCCAGGTTCGCCCTAAATGAATCTCAATAAACCCGTCCGCGATGACTCGCGCCTCCGATGCAGTCGAGCTGCTTCCATTGGTCGCATTCAATGCGCAAGCGCGCGCCTCCGGCGTGACGACCCCTCGGGTAGATATTCTGGCTCTCGGAATCGTTAGGATCGGGGCGCCAAACCTCGATCCGGTCTCGATCATCAGCGAGAATGGTGGGCAGGCCCGGCCCGAGCACCATTCATTAGCACCCTGAGTATTTCTGACGAGGCACAACTTCCACCGCTGTTGCCTGATGGAGGCGACCCAGCCTCGAATTGTGGGTTTTCGGAGTCAAATCGATTAATCTCACCCTGAATCTCCACTGTCGATTCGTGATGGAGGCTGTCCATCCTGCGGACCGTTGCCGATCGGAAAAACGGTAGTCTGATACTCGAGTCGTATTGTGCAAGTTCCTGCGGGAAATCAAGGAACCCAAGTATCCGGTCAAGTATCCGGTCCCTTCCCCGCGACCACCGTCGGCATACGATTTCAGCCCGACTCTCATCATTTTGGGACTCTCTCAATGGAGAGAGTGAGACTGCTCGTTAACTACTTAAGAGCCTTCGGGGGCGACGAGCTGTGCGTCTGACCGGAGTTGAGTCTTCCTTCACTACCAGAATTGGTGCTCAAAGTCCCTTCTTCTACAAGAGCTGTGGTTTCTGTAACTTCTCGCCGATGGGAGAAAGAGCGTGGAATTCCTTTCGTGCTCGTCCCACAGTCGCTAGCCGGTGGGATCCTAGAGGCGGAGACCACTAGAACGTCAACGGAGCTCGAAGAAGTTGCTCCATCAGAATCAACAATGGAGGCTCTGCCACAAGAGGTCGGTGAAACTGAGTATCTCAATGCTGATTTTCTAGTTCGTGGGAAAGAAATGTCAGGGATCGTATCCCGTTCTCCATGAGTTACGAACCTAAAGGACGGATGATGTTCAGGCTGACTTCCTCATGATGATTCCACAACGGAATCCCGCGTGAAGGACGGCTCGCTCAACGAAAATTGACCGTGATAAATGTTGACGCCCTTGTTATCCACGAGGAACCAGAACTCTGCTTCTATGACTAGCCAGGAATTCACTGACCCTTCCGCGGCACGATTCGGGACGTTTCGGCTCCTATACCTATGCTCATGGGTCTGAAAAGAGGTGACACCCTCAAAAGACCAGGCTGCAACTTGAATCCGCGCCCTTCCCTTTCCGAGGGCCTCGGAAGCGGCTCGGACCAGTATAGATACGATCGAAGAGCGGAAATTGAATAGCCGAGGGGTGTTTTCTCCATCAGTCAGCAAGGAGGCAAGAGCTTGGCCTGATCAAAGGAGGGATGGCAAAATCCGTTCCGATCGTTTTCTTGCTGCTGGGAAGACCAAAGCTTCGTTTGCTCCCAACCAAGATGGACCGAGAGTCGGTAACTGGTTGGTGACGTTCCCGGTCGTTCTATGTCACATTTTCTCGTCTGAAGGTTCATTTTACTCCCTGCTTCAGCTGGTCGAACAAGTGCTGCTGCGCATGCACCCCCTCGACCGCCTCGGAAGTGCGGTCGCCTGCCATCAATGGGCCGGGCTCCTATCGACACCAAGGATGCTCGGGGACGTCGTAATGGTGATGAAAAAATTCAACACAGAAGCAGCCTTCACCGCCTTGATGGAGAATCGCCGAAAATATGGAAACCTCCGAATTCACGAAGGTAAAGTGAATATTCGAGTTCCCGATACTCCCCACAATTCTCGGAAAGCGTCAAGAATATTTCGAACACAACCTCGAGTGTGCTCGTTTCCCAGCGGATCTGAGCGAGTTTGGCTCATTCTTCTGTGTTGAAATCGGCAAGAACCTCCGCGCGCTGGAAATCCTCCACTGTCGATTCTCAGCCGTGGATCTCCATTCTATCCTGCGATGTTGCACGAAGCTGAAATCGCTCAAGTTCCAATGTGAGTGCGATTTCCCTATTTCCATTTCCAATTAGCTACTTAAAAGAAACTGAGTGAGCGAGAGATCCGAAAATCCGGGATAAGAGAAGATTACGGAGCCGAGCAAATCTTTTTTTCGGACGACATATCACATCTACTCTCAGAAGCAATCAGATTCTCAATGCATATCCGATTACAGGCAACCGAGAAGGAGACATCGAGCTAAAGTCCCCAAAGCAGATAGCCCTCGAGCCTTTGCCCCAGCTGCGACACCTTTGTCTGGATATCGATCACGATACGGCACTATTCGATTACGTGCTCGATTGGTCCCCGAACTTGGTGTCCCTCAGCGTTACGGGGTGCGCAGACAGACGCCGATTTCGCGGAAAGCTTCTCGGCTCGATGAAGCTTCAGCTGAAGTTCTTGAAGTGGTGGGGAAATGATGTCGACGATGACTTCGTCATCAGACTGGTGGAGAGGCACTCCGAGACTCTTCAAGATCTGGATTTGAAAGACTGCAGTGAACTCACAGACGCGGCGTTTGATGCGATTTGCGCTCTGCGTGAGCTTCGTCGTCTTTCGCTCCACAACGCCAAAAATCTTGATGACTCTCATATGGAGAGACTTCTCCCGAGTTGTCCCCACCTGGAGACTTTCCCTGTGCCTCTGCGCACAGATGGCTTGGCTAGCTTCTTGACCCGGATCGCTAAGAGCGGACAAGCTCGGGAGCTCGTCTTACGACGCTATCAGAAGAATTCACTTTTGAGCAGCGACGAGTCCCGCATTCTGGGCCGTATTTCTAGTCTGCGACATCTGGAGATGCCGTGCATCGACAGCCGTGCATACGTGGATGTTGCTCGTTTGAGGGATCTCCGAGTCCTCGTTCTGCATCCGATGCACGCGCATCCCTCATCCGACGACTTCTCGTCGCTCATCGCGAACTTGACGGGGCTAGAGCAACTCTCGATCGGCTGTGACAGGCTCACCGATTCGGACGGGGTCAAGCTCCGTCTTCTGAGAAATCTTCGAAAATTGGAGCTTCTTCGTGCGTCCGGATTCACAGACCGGACGTTTGAAGGGGCTCTCGGATCGGCAGCCATGGAGGAGCTGCTTATCGAAGATTGCCCCGTGACAGGATTCGGACTGGCTCGATTGGCTGCTCATCACGATCGGTTGAGGCGTCTCACCCTCATACGGTGCAATAATACAAGCGACTCGGAGATAGCATTTGGTCTCCGTCCCCTGGCCGTGCTCAATGAGCTGAAGCTCATGTACTGTGCATCAGTCACCGAGGAGCTCGCGATCGCCTTCGGGCCAGAATTTCTGTGGCCACGTCTGCACAGTCTATGCATGATTTTCAATGAAGGTTGTCAAACGTACGACACTGTTGTCGAACGGAGAAGGACACCTACCAATGAATGCTGCATTGAACTATGGCGATAGTCAACGGGAGCGCGAGGAGCGATTCTGAGCGAGAGGCTAGTCAAAATAATACAGTAAAAGCTCGTTGCAGCGACCCCCATTAGAACGAATTTCTCGGTACAACGAAAAAGGAATTTCTCCTCCTTTGGCTAGCTCGCCATAGGGATAGTGATGAGCGGCATTCGTTACAGCGAAAACTCGGTACAACGAACCAGTTTCGTCGGTCCCTCCGTGTTCGGAGTAATGAGCTTTTACTGTAATTGTATAATATGTAAATAGGCAACTTGAATTATCGAGAATCGAGACTCATGTCATCATCGTCATGTTTATCATAGAGTTAGGTATGGTCAAGTCAATAAATCTTAAATTATGGAATGTACGACGATTTGGACTCTTTTCCTGGAAAAAGGCATGCTGGAAATGTGCCGAAAAGAAGCAATAGGAAGCTACATTTCTAGGCCTTCAGATGGAGGTTCTCCCACTCGTGCGCGTCAAGGATCGCCTTGTGATCTCGTTGTGAGATATGAGAAACAGCCGTTCGTGTCCGTCACTGCCTCCAAAGACCAAGCGGTAACATGAGTTCCGCTCGAATGTATCTTGACTCTCTTAGAGTCCCGCTTACATTCGTCGGCGCTCCGTCGTATTCGAGAGCTGTGGAACATGGAAGGTCTCCCGTTGAGGGATGTTCAACGTAATGAGGTCCGATGCTCCTCCATCGAAACACAACCTGGAAATGTGACTGACCAAGCACCCAGTCGCACAGAGGAGCGAAGAACGATACTGCGCTCCCAGCGACATCCCATAGGCGATTCCGGAGTGCCATCGAAGGCGGCAACTCAAGTTCAAACCCTCATCGCACGGACTCTGACTGACCAGGAATACCCAACAGAACACCGGATATGCTGAGAGCTTGGTCATGATTCTCCAGTGGCGGCGTGCCTAGGAAGAGAATCGAGAAGCTGCTATGCAATCATCAGCATCTCGCCCCGCCGTACGCTACACTTCTGCCACGTGCAAGGATTCCAACTCGCACCGCAAACCTTATTCCTTTTTTTTCATTGTAGGGGATCCTGTGCTCTTGTGTTTTGTTCGGATAGATCAAGACACAATGTCTATGGAGCGACCCAAAAACCTTGATGTAACCTATTTTGCGGTGATACGAGCCGAGAATGACACCGCCCGATTCCGTCGATATTCTGAGCAAAGATCATCAGCCACAGCCTCCGTGCGGCAGAATTCCCCTCGTCTTTGTTCTCAGCAGCGGATCAGCTTGCGCTCGAGTCTAGATAATCCTCAGCATGGCAGCGTACGGAGATGCGCCGTGCTATCGAAAAAGTGTCCAAGACCGAAGACATCCCCACCTGTGAGGATTGAAAGGTCTCCCTCTTTCCCTCGAAGTCTTCTGCTCCGAAGCCCGGCAGTAGCAATTCTCTCCCTCGAATCTCCGTCAATATTTTTATTTCGGTTCCGTTCTACGCGGCGCAGAACCAAGTTCCGGAGGAGGAAGAACGTCTTGATTTGAGGAATATTCTTCTTTCGGTTGCCAGCTCCCGGGATCTAAGTTTAGGACCCTTCTAGGGGAATTGACAGTAATAGTTTTCAGCTGAATTATCCATGTACGGTCCAGCACTATCATGAGCGGCTACAAGCGCAAAGGAGGTAAGTTCCCTCTCAGAACTCGGAGTTGACGTGCCTCGACTGATGGATCTCTTCCATTCAGCGGATTCGCGCGCGGAGACGTCGCTGTGGTGTCGTTGATCTCCGCACATTGCCTCGCTTCGGGAATGCTTTGGCGCCTCACTAAACTTCGACCCGAGAATTGATGACATCCGACCGGGGAAGAATCGGAGAGGCTCTGCTGACTCTCGAAAATAATCTGATACATCTTCTGCCACACCGAATTTGTAGAATCACTTGATCGATATAGATTTGCCTGAATATCGGGGTGTCCGCACCTGTCACGTTGTTGACGGCCCCGAAATCCTCGTGTCCGGAACCGTGACATCTCATCATGAATATTTACCCAAATCCTCTGATCGAGTAATATCCTCGCAGGATACAGCACTCGCAGCGGTGGAAACAATGCTAACCACGCGAACAATAATCATCCGGAGAGATACAAGCCCGATGAGGACGAAGGAGAACAATTCAGCGTCGACGGTGAGTGGATCGGTGATCGAACCGCTGGTTCGATCTCCGGAGTATCCTCAAGATGCGTGACTCGCTTTCCTCACCGAAAGCACCGATGTGTTATTGATTCTTGGAGCATGTTCTCAGGTGTACCGATCGCCGCCAAGAAACAGCTCGAGGATAAGAGCTGTGAGGACGAATATGGAGCGAAAGACTACAGGGATCAGATGATCCTCAAACCGGACCATGCGTCACGACCTCTGTGGGTGGTGAGTGTTCCCTCCACGGAATGTTCTATCGGTCAGAGGAGTTCTCCCCGGCAGAGCCCGTCAAGCTGAAAAGCGCCTCCATTCTTCCAGTCAGCTGATGGGCACATCTTCCTCGAAGCGTTCTCCCCTGTGTACAAGCACGCTCACGACTTCCTTATCGCCATCGCTGAGCCGGTCTGTCGACCAGAATTCATCCACGAATACAAACTGACTTCCTACTCACTGTACGCGGCTGTATCGGTCGGCTTGCAAACAGATGACATCATCGAGTACCTCAGAAGATTAAGTAAAACCAGTATACCTGAAGGTAGGTCGTCTCTTACGGGAATCGCAGCGTGCTCGATTCGACTTCGGTGATTTTTTGGAAGATTCTCACGCCATTCGACAACTGGTTTCAGGCATTCTCGATTTCATCCGGATCTGTACCGTTTCGTACGGAAAAGTGAAACTCGTTTTGAAACAGAATCGCTACTTCGTCGAAAGTAATCACCCTGAAGTTCTTCAGAAATTACTCAAGGATCCCGTCATCCAAAATTGCAGATTGAAACGGAGCGAGGGAGAAGTCGAGCTCCTCACAGTCACAACGACGAAAAACACTACGGTACGAAATCTCCGCAAAAACTGAGTATCACCTTCCCCTGCTAGATCCGTTTCCCGCATCTAACCGGAAAGTGACGCGAAATCTTTGCAGATCGTTCCGGGTACCAAAGCCGCGGAGCCCGGGGACAAGACCGAGGTCCCGAACGATATATTTGATTTCTACGAACGCTTGGAAAACGATGAAGAGGAAGAACCCGATCGCGAGACGAAAGTGGTTTCTTTCGAAGTCATGCAGGACAAGATCGAAGACATTCAGAAGCGTTGCATTGAACTCGAGTACCCATTGTTGGCAGAGTACGATTTCAAAAATGACACACATAACCCCGATATCAACGTGGATCTCAAGCCGTCGGCTCTGCTCCGACCGTACCAAGAAAAGTCCCTGCGTAAAATGTTCGGGAACGGAAGAGCTCGCTCCGGAGTCATCGTTCTGCCTTGCGGGGCTGGAAAATCATTGACAGGTGACAGAGGACCTAAATCCGATTCCGTCGATGCTTGTCCCCCGTCGGAAAGCCCGCGGAACTTATCGCTCACGGCTGCTTCCATTCATTTTCAGGCGTCACGGCGTGTTGCACCGTGCGGAAGCGATGTCTGGTACTCTGCAATTCCGGAGTGTCTGTCGAGCAGTGGAAAGCGCAATTCAAAATGTGGTCAACGGCGGATGATTCGATGATCTGTCGTTTCACCTCGGAAGCCAAAGATAAGCCAGTGGGTTGTGGTATCTGCATCACTACGTACGCCATGATCACACACACCCAGAAGAGGAGTTGGGAAGGCAAGTGCCTTCGAAAAAGTTTCTTTCTCGAGAGCAAAAGTCCGCTCATGAAGAAATGGTTCTTCGGCTCCTTCCTGTACGGAAGTTCCCGGAGCTCAGGACCCCTGATCTGACAATGAATTTATTCATTCCCCAGGCGAACAGGTGATGCAATGGCTCAAAGAGCAGGAATGGGGCATCATGCTCCTTGACGAAGTGCACACAATCCCAGCTAAAATGTTCCGGCGAGTTCTGACCCTGGTTCAGGCTCACTGCAAACTCGGGCTAACAGCGACACTCGTGAGAGAGGACGACAAGATCGCCGATCTCAATTTCCTCATTGGTCCGAAAATTTACGAGGCCAACTGGCTTGAGCTGCAGAAGGCCGGCTTCATCGCCAAAGTGGCCTGCTCCGAGGTGTGGTGTCCGATGACCCCTGAATTCTACAGAGAATACCTCACGGCGAAAGCTGCGAAGAAACTTCTCCTCTTCGTCATGAATCCGAACAAGTTCCAAATCTGTCAGTACCTCATCCAGTATCACGAGCGACGCAAGGATAAGATAATCGTATTCTCCGACAACGTATTCGCTCTGAAACACTTCGCCGAAAAACTTCGGAAGCCCTTCATTTTCGGCCCCACGTCCCAAGCTGAGAGGATGCAGATCCTCCAGAACTTCAAATACAACCCGATGGTGAACACGATCTTCGTGTCCAAGGTTGCGGACACGAGTTTCGATCTCCCCGAAGCCAACGTTCTGATCCAGATTTCAGCCCATGGAGGTTCACGTCGTCAAGAGGCTCAGAGATTGGGTAAGATACCCGCAAGCATATGGTCGACTCCCGAAATCTTTATGCTTACCCTGATCATTATCATTGTTCTTATTTCGAAATCCTCGCTCAAGACATAATGCGATCCCATCGATCGCAATATCGATCGATCTGGAAAGTCTGATTTTTCCCTGCAGGGCGGATTCTCCGGGCGAAGAAAGGAGCTTGCAATGCATTCTTCTACTCCTTGGTCTCTCAAGACACGATGGAGATGCATTTCTCACGGAAACGGCAGCGGTTCTTGGTCAACCAGGGTTACAGCTACAAAGTTATCACGAAACTTGAAGGTCTCCAGACAGAGGAAGGAATTCTTTACAGAAGCAAAACCGAGCAGTTGAGACTTCTATCTCAGGTAAGGTGGTCAACTGTGGCTGCTATCGAGCCGGACCCAAGTCAGCTGGATCCTGGTTTGTCAGAGGAATCAGAGGGAACAGAGGAAGCGGGGGGAACGAATTTCAAATAAGATTCGCGTTTTTCTGAAGGTCATGCAAGCCGGCGAGGATGAAGTCGAAATCATCCCTGGAGACAGCGGTGCCGAAGCGCGCACTCAGAGACGGCTGGGAGGCATTGGTGGCCTCTCCGGAGCGGACATGGGCGATGTCTACGCCGAAGTTAGAAAAGCGAAGGATCAAGCGACCAGACATCCTCTCTTCAAGCGCTTCAAAGGTTTCGGTCGCTGATTTGGGAGGGCCGCGACCCACATCCTCCGAAATTCGTTCTGTTGGAAGCCCGTTCCTCTTTCCTGGGTGTTGTTCTTTCCGACATGTAAAAATAAATAGCACCATGTTGTCAGGAATCGAAAGTATCTCAAGAAATCAATCTCGATGGATTTCCGCATTTGGTCGGGACTCCCATCGTCAGCTGGGGAGCATCGGTGGAGAGAAAAGGTGAAACAAGCGCGCGATTCGCTTACGGTCCGGAGATCATCCGAATAGTGTTAGAAAGCGGAGAATCAGGCGCCTCCACGCGCTCTCTCCCTGGCTCGCGGAATGGCGGGAAGCTTCTCGTCGACTCTTTGGCTCCGTGAGTTTTGAGGAAATCGACCCGTGCCTCACTGTCCGACCTGATCGAACCCGCGGAGCACTCCGGAAAAGCATCAACTCGTGACTCGTGACCTACAGCCAATTTCTCTCGCTGAATATGAACTGAAACCCGCTTATTGGGACCACCGGATAATATTCAGGCCCTTCGCTTGATCTGTCCGGAATCCGAATCCCCGATTGAGGTTTCCTCGTCAAAATCAGCGGGTTTTGTCGCGCCAACAGCTCATTGGGACTAAAGATGACTCGGTGGACCGATGTCGTCCCATTAAGCAGAGTCCGCCGTACGTCATTAAAATATGCTGTTCGAGTCCTGGATTGATCGATCGATGGTGATACATGCTCCGTCCTCCTGGAGGGAGTCGACAGCCTCATTTTACGACAATCTCGCCACTCGAAACATTTTATTCCATAGATATATCCTACGAGTTGGTATCCTATTGATCGATGGGTCTCGCGATTTCGATTCCGTTGATCCTGAGCATGGTATAGTTTTGTCTGTAGAAATACGACCTCTGATACCGGGTCCTCTGCCTGAATTTGAAGATCCGGTACTCATGGCCCAAGGTTCGCTCGATCACCGTCGCATAAACTCGAACCTGTAAGCAAGGAGTTATGCTCGGAACCTCTCATCGCTCTTGGTCAGAGAATCTCAGACGGGATATCGACAGCGGCTGCAATGTAGACGGGGATGCACTCACGAGGTCCTGATCCAGCAAAGGTCTGCCAATCAGGGTGAAGTCCGTGGATGCTGCCAAGAGAATCTTGTTCAGTCGGATGGTCTCCCCGATTCCGACAGGCATGACTGTGTTAACAGCGATGATGTCCTCAGCGGTGACCTGTTCGATATTGGGAGGTTCCTTATTCGAGTCAAAAAACTTTCCAGCTATAGAACTTTCGACGCTCTGGTAGAGCATAGCTACTGGATCCGATCTCCCCTTTACCTTGAATTGTTTGCCGTGGAGGTAAATAACGGCGAATAATCTACTGTGCGTTCCTTTCTCGATCTGGTCATTGACTGCTCCGAGTACAGTTTTGATGACACGCGATTCACGATTCTGGTCCACTATCTCACCGGTGACGGCTTGAGCCTTGCATGAATTTCAAAGAAAATATTAGGCGAGCGCAAGAGCAGATAAAAATTCCTTGAGGGTTCCCGAATGATTCGGGAATGTGCTCCCGTGAGAAAAATAATCCCATCTTTAGAGTCCCACTCCAGGAAGACGAGGGTTCTAACCTTTGATGTCAGAGGTCTGACCGACAGGGAGCTCGCGAGGCTCCTCGCAACTGAGGGTAACACGCGCAGCATCGTAGAGTCGTTTGAATGATTTCACGGTAGGAGCTTGAGCCTCCCTGAACACCTCTGTCTCGCGGATTTCTATTCGAGGGAGAAAAGTCTTGACGGCGCCTCAGGGATTCATGAGGGCTTCTATCCTCCGGCGCTGACTTTCGAAGATGCAAGCGGCTCGTGTGATTTCTCAGCGCTCTCACCGCAACACAGCGCGAACGGGGTCTGTGTTTGTTTACAGATGGGAGCTGCTGTATTGGGGTCAATGGATGGATTTTCGGTTCCGTAGCAGTCGACAGGCGAGCGCCTTCCGCAGGCCCGAAGCCTGCTCTACCGCGAAACCCAGCACGTCCCGCTCCAAAGAATCGCCTCCACCCGTTCTTCGAGCGCGAAGATCATAGGAGAACACCTCCGTTTGGTGGAGGGTCCAGGCAAAAACTTACCGACCGTGTCCTTCCTTTCTTGGGGCATGCATGCCGCCCTTTCGTTATCAATTTCTCATGCGGGACATATCAGCAACGTTTGTTCGTTGCCATACCGACTTTCCGGTTTTTTTTTCACGACCCTCGTGGAGCTGCAATCTTGACATCGAGGAAATTGTAGGGAGATGTCCATGAGGAAACAAAGATCCCTTGTCCACATTGAATTTTCCGCTCCCTATTCCCTGGCACTCCCTTCGGACGCTCCGAAACTCGACACCTTTGGACTCTCGATATTCAGGCCGGATTCCTCCTCCTCGACTGGGATCATAAACTCCAACGCGCGATTTCGCCGATGATGGAACGAGAGTTTCACTCCTGACGCATCGTCTCGGAAAGTCGCGTTCAGCGCATCTATCATTAACCAAAATATTCAGAAACCATGTTCCCCAGGCAAGCCAACGCTTGCCCGCACAATGCGCCGCGATCCGGTGCATTTAAGCTGGCAGTGATCGGAACCTGTGGGTCCTCCCATGAGACTCCAAAGAGGAGTCGCTGCTCAGGAGCAGAAACGAGTCAAACGCATCACTCGATTCCGCCTGCCTACAGATCATCGGCATCATTGTCTGCAATCTGCCGTCGACCAACAACAAGAGAGCGAAGAGAGAAATATTGGGCCGAACCGGAGTTGTTTTTGTTATGATCAGATCCGCGATCCTGCCGCGTTTTGACGCGAGCTGACAGCTGACTCGTGAAATCTCATTTCATATCGATCGTGACGCTGATTCGCTGGCGGTGCGGGAGCAATCACCAGAAGTAAGTCTAGGAACTCATCTCGATTCGAATCTGGGAGCATCCTGAAAACGTTACCTTGACGAAATAATTCTCAGAGTCCGGAGGCTTAATCCGCCTTCGACAGCGCGAATCGCTCACTCCTCCTGAAATCCCCGGTTCCGAAGTCGGACTTCGTCGAGGCTCAGCGATGGTTATCGATAGGTTCTGATGAGAAACTAATCGGGGGCCAGTACTCTCAAAGGGCGTGGATGAATATTATTTGGCACCGTCTCCTCACAATTCATGAGCTTCCATTGCGTTTCCAGGATGGCTCGGGCCGATCCCGTTTACCCTCAGACTATTACGCAAGCTATTCAAGTTGGCGAGGAAAATATTTCGATCGCCTGTACGGCTTTCGCGAACCAACTCCTATTGATAGTATCGTCGAGTGGGAAGATGGGGAATCTCCTCAAAGTGACCATAGAGTCAGCTCCGGATCTCTCGTCGAACTCTTCAGAAGACCTAGTTACTGTGGAACCCTTGCTCGGTGCTGACGATGAACAAATCCCGGTTGTCGGGAGATACATCGCAGAGAAAGTTCTCCGCGAATTGTCTCGGAAAGAGATTCTGATCGGGGTTAGCCTGAAAGACATGTCAAAGCCGTTTATACATGAGCTCGCCGACAAGATTCTCAATGTCATCCGTGTTCATAAATAAAATATTCCGATTCATTTTCCCCGGAGAGTATTCCTGTATGACGTTCAGGGGAAGGGGGAAGGCGATCATCCTACCGACTATAATCTGAGTCTTTTTCCAATCATTCTCCCTGCAGAGTCAGCCCCGGGGGCGGCGGAAAGCTTCCTCACGAGTCCTTCTACCTAAGAATGGAGAGCTTCCTCGAAGGCTGTCCCCCCGACGATTTCCATATCGCCGATGCACAGGGCGTGTTCCAATGCATATTCTGCGGGGACTTCTTCTCAGAGCGAAGCGCCCTTGACGCCCATTTGCCCAGCCATGTGACGCCCGGCGACAGCTCGGCACGCGAAAAAGCTCTGAAGTGCCCAGTGTGCAATTACGAGGTCTGGAGTGAGGATGACTTTGAGAGTCATCTCAAGAGCCACGTCCTAGGTGGGTCACCCCTGAGATCGAGTGTCGTCGAATCTTCTCGCTAGATATGGACGATTTGCTTACTGGTTGAAGCAATCGAATGGATAGATTTCGCTGATTCATGTTCGACATCTCTGCAGGGTACAAATGCATCTTCTGTGACTTCACGACCGTGAAACGAAGTAAGCTCCGGAGTCACCTCCCCGAGCACGCCTTTGAGAGAAACTTCAAATGCGACCTCTGTGGTTTAGGCTTCTGCAAAAAAGATCTCCTCAAGCGCCACCTCAAAACGCACGGTCCGAAAACCCTGGCGTGCACTCAGTGCGAATACAGAAGTGAGTCCTATTCATTCGTAAGTAGGAATGCATAAGCATCTTCCTGAGATGCTCGAGATGCCTGGCTCGCGCCGGCTGGCATGAGCTCGAGGGTATCGGCCTATCACTCGGGGACATCGGCCGTTTCCAAAGCTCCGTGATAAGCGAGAGAAAAACCTGATACGAAATTTCTCTCAGCTTTCGGAAAACGTATTCTCCGGGAGCACATAGCGACGAAACACGAAGTGAAGAATCTCTATAAATGCAAGGAATGCAGCAGCGAATTCAAACATTCTGGCGATCTCGGGATCCATAAACGGAAGGTGATCTCCCTTTTTTCCCTCTGTCTTCGTATAGTCTACCCCAATGTGTTCGGACACGTGCAGTTTTATCGGAGTACTCACTTTTCCGTTTCCAGGTCCACAAAGCTCAGTGGAGTAAGTTCGGGCGGAGCGATATGAAACGATGTCCAGACTGTCCTTTCGAGACGAAACGGAAGTACGAGTACGTTTTCCATCGGCTAGAGCGACACGAAAATTTCCCGATAATCCAGGAAGACCCGATGATCAAGTGTGGTTTCGAAGAATGCTCGTTTCAAGCGGATGACGAGTTGAAATTCGTCAATCACGTGCAATCTAAGCACAATCCGGACGGGGTCAGTAAACCCAAGCACGCATATTCTTCGGGAAATACGTGAAATCTCGAGGCATAATGAGAGTGACTCCCGACAACCTTGAGCTTGTCCCCTTCGATAATCTTCTGTCCTTAAATTTCACCTTCTTCCATGATTATAGATGTGCAGACTTTGTGATAAATCTGGATGTGAACACCTCAAGACGAAATACTACCGGACGAAACCTAAGAAAGAGCAGAGAGTACCCGGACCGGCAACTCTCCTCGAAAATGTACAGAAGCTGTAGATGTCCGGCTCGAATGGGGTCGACGCAAAAGAGGAACTGCGTGTGAGTTCAGCGATCTCTCAGCACACGGGAACCCACAGGATTTTCGTCGATATTCCAGAGGCTCGGTCCGATAGCAATCACATTTTTTCCGAGTATCTCAAAGCACACAGGAAGAAGCCCGCAGGGACAAATGATCATGCTCTCGGAGCTGCTCGAAACGAACCGTTTTCTGATGTAATAGGATTCCGGTATGAGCCTCGCTAGCGCGCGTGGCAGAGGAAAAAGGAGCGACGATGAATGAATAAAGTCTTGGACTCTATTTTTGATCTGATGGATCTTGACTGATGCGATCAAAGTCGAACGCTCCCCGTTTTCCGATATGCACCCCCTTGGAAGGTTTGGGAGGAGATCGTTGCTTTCGGGGAAATCTCCTGCTCGCAGGATGATCTGTCTGTTCGGCTCATTCGGCGGAGAGCAGTCGTCTCCTTTTGGATTCACGGGATAGAAGGATATCTATCGTGGAAGCTTGCACATGTGTGCAAGGGAGCTTGCATGTAACGTTTGCCCGCAGGCCGATAGATAATCACCGCTCCGGTCTAAACTTGACTGCCTGATCCATCCTGTCGATCCCATCGCGACAAAAATTTTCGCGACCTCAGACCGGCTCGCGTCGGACGCGGCATCGCTCAGGAAGTGAACGGGAAGCGCCGTACGATCGCCCTAGAAAGGGATCACCATCCTGGTATTTTCGAAGTCGTCCTAATCCCGCAATTTTCTCCAGAACCGTGAACGACTGCCACAACGACTTCTCGTAGAGCTGACCCGTCGCTATTTGTGACAACCTCGGCCTATCGCGACGAGCGACATCATTGTATATCGAGTGATATGATTCATTCAACGATTCTCCCTCGGGACATCATTCCGGGGGGTGTCAGATTCACAGATCGAATGCTTTAGTCGGGCCTTCTTCCGTGGTTAGCTGGTGACGAATGAAAATGACGTCCGTGATCCACTGTATTAGACAGGCTCAGCGCCTAAACTCTCGATCAGAATGGAAACCCCTTATTCGATATTGCTCCTACAGAGATAGAAATCCCTACCTAGAAATCGTCGTGCTCATGGCGGATTGTCTTGCAGGCCATCGCCCCACGTGCGATGGCATTCGGATGCACCCATTAGTCAGCGTCCGGCGCGACGAATCATTGGGTTGAGGGGCAAAGTGAGTTCCCCTTCGCGAAGAGCACGTTTGCACCAAACATTACAGACGCCCTAATCACTCGACAATCGACCGGTCGAGCTGGAAAACCAGCCCTTGATCTTGACCTCCGTTTAATAATCTGATTCCGCACCTGTGGCTTCGAGCTGAAATGAGTCCCCGGCCGAGAAATTAAGATTTAGTTTTCCGTGGTTCAAGATCTCGGGGGACGAAGCTCCATCGGCGATAGGCATCGGAGCAGACCTGCGCGGAACGATGGCCTCGCTCAAGACGTCTCCATGCGCAACTATGAGGAGGGGGAAGCACGTGCAACAGTGCGGCCCTGTAGAGAAGGGGGGGGAAGACTAGTGAAGAGCCAGGCTCATTGAACATAGGGGACCAATAGGCGCCGCGCTGTAGCTCGCTCAGGAGAACGCTCCCTACCCCAGAAGATTCGCTGCTGCCAAACAGAGATCATCATCATCATCAGTGATGGGCCAATAGTCGTCTGCAGCCGCTGATGCCCGATCGGACTCCTGGATAAATCATTAGATTGCCGTCCTTTGCTTTTCTCGTCGTTACATAGAGACGAGAGCTCATCCCAAACCGTTCCGGCCCTTTCTGGAGACGCCGTCCCTTCGTGGTTCCGTTCCAGGAAAGTCTCATGTCTGGGTCTGTCAGTCGAGCGACGGCAGACAGAGACACTCTCTGCCTTGTCGTTTGTTTGGTGCGCTATTTCTCCGCTCAGCTATCAGGCTAGCTGACTGGCTGACGGCTGTTGTTCCGAAGGCGCTTAGAGACTTAATCGGTCTCTTGAAGACTCAAAGTGAAGACCTCGTCGTCGCCGCCGCAGCCGTGCTCTCTGTAACCGTCATCATTCGTAGCTGTATCAAAAGTCGGTGCATAGAGAAGCACCAGGAAGAGACCATAATAGCCAAGTCTTGCCCGTCTTGTGGCAAGAGGTGAGTCCTGAGACTTCGAGTTGAAGTGCTACGACACCGTCGACCACAATGACCTCACTAGGGGTTGTTCGAGGCGGGCCTGTTGCCCGACCAGTGCCAATGAAACTGTTCGCCGACTCGGTTGATCGAACAACACCATCCTGCATTCCCAGGTCAGTAAACGTCAAAATTTTACTTTAAGTATCGAAATAACTTGAACAGTGTAATTGATCCACGGATCAGCGGTTCCCGAACCCGCGGGACGGGCCCTGAAGTACGAGCCCCGCTCTCTGCGGGAGAACGGAAATGGTCCGCGAACTCCGCTATTCTGTCCGGTCCATCGCCAGTCCGAAGTTCTGTCAATCCCACACTTCTCGACTGACTGACTGATTGATCGCTTTCTTCTCCGAGGAGATGTCTTTTCGAGTTCACGTGAACGAGCAGATAATTGATAGAGTCTGCCGATTGTAATTCCCCGTGCTCAAATAATGAGCGAAGTGTCTCTCGGAGCAATCCTATCAGTCAGAGCGATTACCGAGAGTGTTTGGTATCACATGGTATCTGTGGAACTCCATGTGCATAGACTTTTTCTCCCATCCCGGAACATTCCGAAGAAGAGAGATCCCCTCCGACTCTCCTCTTAGGTTGGACCCAGCGCGAAACCTGGTCGTTGTGAAATCATTGACGCTCCCCACGTTTCTCCAAACAGTGCGCATCGGCGAGCGTTCGCTCACTGCCCTCAAGTAGAGGTTGTACGAATTTTTATTCATGAATTCGGAATCACGTGTCGAATTAATCATTCGCCGAGGGTGAGTACGTGTTCGACATGATGACAGCACCTCACGCTCTCATCCCCTACTCGAGCTGTCCGGGGCAGGTTAGGGCGGATGTCCGGCTTTTCCTCAGCCTAGGGCATGGAGACAGCAAAATTTGCCTCCTTACTATTGGTCATTGGGATAAATCGTAATGCCAACTCGCGCTTCCAAATGCGCAGGGACCAATGACGCGTTAGCTTCCGCGCGAGCATCCCCGTCTCTCCTGCAGGGGATTTTGGTACCGTGAGCGTTTTGGAGATGTCCGAAAGCATCGAGTTTACACTCAACGATCTCATACGTTATATACCGGATACTTCCTAGATATATGGATGAAGCATATTCCCACCCACCAAGGAGAGTCCAAGACGCGGACGAGCGCTTGCAAGCTCCGGTGGAAAGCGGACATCGATGCTCCCTGACAGCTTGGATTGGCGTCGGTTTGCATTCGGCAGAGACCGATGAACTACCCGGAGCCATCGAGAATCAGGTCCTAGAGATCGTACATATGCTCAATCCCTGGCCGGTGATGCGACAAACGTGAGGACGCGTCTCAGGAACAGGCAGCTCTCGCCTAGTTGCGAGCGCTATCAGAACAGTGATGAATTCCAGTATGGAAAACCGATTCTTCCGGAAGTGTGATGCAATACTTTCGCCGAGAACGTCCATGTCGGATGAATTTATCTTTGACACATTCACGCTCAAAAATGAACGATCTCTGTGAAACTCTCTCCGGATCCCCTCATGGCCGGAGAGCTACCTTCTCTCATTCGTTCAGTCATCAGGAACGATTCTGGCTCGCATCGTCTCCCATTTCGGATATTCATTGACAGCGCTGAGCTATTTTCGGGATTGGATTGTTTGCTCATGCATCTATTTCCATCGTACATCCTTGAAAGTTTATCGTTCTCGCAAGCAGCGCCATTCTTGGATTGACATGCGTAGCAGAATTTATGATCATATTTTATTGATTTCTGATCGAGTCATACGCTTACCGCGTTCCAGCTCCATCGCTTCCTGGTCGGTCGCTCGTGTTGACCGCCCTCGGAAGGGGCTTCAGTGGTCGATGTCGGGCGAATACGAAGCAATCCGCGAGAGTACACCCCCGCCTCTGACCTCTTTCGGATCGAAAATTCGGGAGCGTTGCTTTTTTTGAACCTCCGTCCGATGCAGTCCGCTCTTTAGGGTGCAAAGAAGTTTCGAGACCTCGAGCCTGTGTCACGGAGAGCATGGACAACTACCGTATCAGTTAGCCGGGTCCACTTGTACGGCCCGAACTTCCTGGGGCTGCGCTCATTGAGAACTTCAGCGGAGCTCAGCGGGAACTGAACTTTTCGGAAGTCCGAAAGTTCGTCGTTCCTGGAGAGGACTTTATTCCTGGGCTCTGAGACTCGATCGAGCAAGACTCGTGAAGTACTTCCGGACTGAAGATAGTGTCTTATTTTTGTCATGCCGTAGTTCCTCCGAGTTCTGAGCGCGACAAGGGTCTTCGGTTCCCTCGGTGAAATCCTTCCCTCTCCTTCCCCATCGATCGTCACCAGTGAATGTCGTCAGCGCGTGTCCAAGGGTTCGGAAGCGAATGGAGGCGACAGAGCCGTCGTCAGCTTCAAGGCAGAGCCCAGCTTTCACGGCGGGGGCGTTTCTCCATAAGAAGCTCCCGAATCACCATCTATTTTTCCGTGCCCCATCGCTACCTGTTTCTGGGGAAGAGGAATCTGTCATCATCATATCCGTGATCATCATCAATACCGTCATTCCAAAAACTTCTAACGGTTCGCGTCAACGGCATTTGAACGACCCCGGGGTCCATTGTATTTTTTCGGTCGTTCGCGAGACTTGTTGCCGCTCGTTGGCTTAAGCCGGGGAGTCTCTCTCATCCCGGAACAGAAATGATACTTCCGCTCTTAGGGAAAAAGTCACGATGCTCAAACAAATCCAGATGGCCGTCTCCAAGCTTGCCTCCATGTCTATTTTTTTTCCGTCGGTCGCTCGTTCACTTCCAGAGATATGCCCCTTTGGTTCACATTTCCAGGAGCCGCGGTTCTGTGAGCGTCTTTCGGTCCCGATTCCCAGCGGGTTTTCCTCTTCAATCCGCTCCCGTACCGTCCCACCAGGATCCATCTGCTGGTTCCCACACAGATTGGTAGAGGGATGCACTTTCTGGGTAGGGGACCTTTTTCCATGAAGGAGTTTTCCTACTCCCTGGAATAAGCGGATCAATTTTAGGATTCCAGGGGAACGCTGAGCGCTCCGCGTCTCTGTTTCCCGGAGTTCAGCGGGAGTGGGGTCGGGAGGGGGCGAGGCCAAACTTTCTTTCCCAACACCGACGCGAGCAATGGAGCGCACGGGGGCTCGAAGAGAGAGTTGTGCTCCATTGAGAAACACGTGTACGCTTTCTTTCCTGGAAATGGGCGAGGGCGGTTCAAGTTGTTGCGCTGAGGCTTTGGGGGCGGTCTGGCGCCTCCAGCAGGAAGAGTAATAGTCGTATCGGCAAGAGGCGGCCCTGGCGGTTTGATACGCGACGGAGTAAAGCGTTGAGTATTAGTCCGCGGCCGCCGCGACTGTTGCTCGGCTAGTTCGGCGCGTGGTCTGTTCCCCATTCCGGGTGAGCGACACTTTCCCCTTGGCCCTTTCCACGGCAGCCCGGAACCAAGCCGCGCGACCATTACACACTCAGACAACGCTCGGTAGCTCTTTAAAATCTGTGCCGTAGACTTCAGGTTTCGTGTGACAGTGTGCGTGATAGCCCGCGAGTCTCCCCGCTAGTGACACTCGAGTTCGGCTCCTCATCCGTCGCCTGGCCATTGGGTCGTGTGGATTCCTTACGTTTTGTTGCGGATCGACGCCCACGCAACGTTGACGCCCGGCTGATGCTTTCTAGGCGTTAGTTGGGCGCCCAAGTTCTGCCGTTCACAGACCGTGCCTCCAGCGAACGGACGCACGACCGACCGAGCAAGCGACCGAGCGAACAAGAGAACGATGCCGACGCGTAACGAACAGAAGAAAGCTCGTTGCAGCTGCAACAGTGAAAATAAATTCTTCTGCCTCCGCTCGAAATGAAGACACGGCCCGATGGCTCCATATCTGGGCGATGTTCGGAATAAGCAACGAAAAACTTAGTCCAGAAACGCGATCACGATCGTTTGGCGCGCCTGAAATAAGTTGAGCAGCGCTGGGAAGCACAAATCGACTGGGCTAATATCGACTCCGATCCGAAGCGTTCGACGGCTCGGTGGAAGCTTTTACCTGCTAGGCGACGATCGGACATGGGAATATTTTCTGCCATGGATCTGAGGTGAGACTCCCTAAATATTCATTGTAAATGAACGAGCCGAAATGTCCGGAGAATATCCACCCCCGAGAAATGCGCGCCGGCTGATGGAGACAGCCTGTCAGGGTCAGTCATTGGACGGAGAATTTCTCATACTCGGTTCCAGTGTCCCAAGTGAGGGATCAATATATATAGGTACGCAGGGGAACTGAAAAACGCAATGGATCCCGCCGTAGATGATCTAGAATGACCAGCGGAGATTAGGAGATGACTTTCACCGAAAAGTGATTGGAGAGCGAAGTGATAGTGAGGAATCTGGCGATCGACCGCCTTATTGTTCGCGCTCGAAGACAAGCATGGATCCGGATGAATTTCACGCCGAATCCAGATGAATCTTCTTACCTGGACACTTTCTCCCGGCGGCGCCTAGAGCTCGAATTCCCTTCCCTTATCCATCTAGGCCATCGATCTTGCGATACTTCCGTCTCTGAATCTCCAAGAGAGATCCCAGTTACCGAAATCACTGCCACCTTCGGTTATCGCTCGCAGATCATTGATCGAGATGCGTTAATCCTTCCGAGATACCTGTATCCCGTCGGGGCGATACCATACGATTCGCTGCCCGAACGACTCGAAACCTCATTTGGTGATCCTTCGGCTATGTTTGAAACTCATGATATTGAAGCATCCGATGCTCCACTGTATACGTCGGGCGTCCGCACGGTGACGCCGACGCCTTGAAAGATCACGAATCAATTGGTCGATCACTGGCGAGCCCGTTTCGTTAGCGGCCTCCCAGAAGTTGCAAGCAGCTTGAGATTCAGATATTCGTGATCATTTGGTATTCCATCCGTGTTGAATTATTATATTTAGACTCTACACAGTTTCGAGACGTCGAATTCGAAATTGCGGTAGGTTCGCAGCGATGACGTATGAGGACTGGGGAGACCATTTACCCTCAGTGCTCGATCATCGATCATCGAGTCTAGGGTATCGTTCGCTCCGCGAGCGCATGCCCTCTCTCCTCTGTGTGTAGATAAGGAACTCCCCTTTCCAAATGCCCCAAAGCGAAATCACTCAACTGCCTGTGAACTGAGTCCTTTCTGTGCGAGGAGAGAGGTTTCTGATGAAAGAAGACGGGCAGATGGGGAACGCCTTGTCAATGATGATGATTCTAGGCGGAGAAAATCGTATCCGATCTGACGGTAAAGTTCGAACTGGAAGATACCTACATAGTGATGGGATTCTCTGAGCTGCTCTCTGTCGGCGAGCTTACGTAGTTTTGCCTAACTTCGTCCGAACGAAGACATGCGGATTTTTATTGAGCAAAGCCAGCTACCGGGAATTCCATCCTGACACCGAGGTTCCCCTCGATGTTTGATACTTCTGTACTAGGAGAAGGGAAACCGACAGAAGTCTAATCGGCTCCGACATCCATGGAGGATTATTCACGAATTCGCCACTGCGATGACGACTCGTTCCGTACTGGTCGATAATCCTGAGCGGGGTATTTCCTCGAGCCAGGACTTTCAGGGAAAAGTGCTGACGATTTAAGGCTCCCAGATGCAATCGAGGACCGAAAATCTGTGAAGGCAGCTAGAGACACATACGGTGAAGTCTCTCTTCGTGAAATAATTCGTTTCTCAAGTTCGAGTACGGAAAAAGAACCGATGCGATGGTTGCAGCAAGTCGCTGGATGAATTCAGATAACGGGCTGGTCCGAGCCCACCCTCTTTCCCGAAAAATGAACTGCAGCGGTTGAATCAAGCATTGAATTGCTTGTCGGAAGGACTCGCCCTCATCATTTCTATTATCCAAGTTCTTCCAGCCATGAATCTGTCTGTGAACTCTTGAGATTTCGATATTGAAACGAACCGTGTGAGAGGTTCTCCATTTCCTCGTGCTGCTTGTTGCCGACGGCAAGAATGAGTAAGAGTGTTCTTATTATTGACAAGGAGACTGTATTGCTGTCTGAGTGAGTCATCGATCCGATCAGCTGACCGTCTAGCGCTCGCTTAACTGACTGATGGGCCTCTTTGGAGGCTTACGTTCGGACTCTCCTCCTCCCTCAGACAGACAAACAGATCAGAGGCAGTAAATCGGACTGAAGAGTATGCATCCGACCATTGTATCGAAAAATGCGCCCCGTCGCTCTTCTACTCTCGGGAATCCCGAACCTGGAATTCGGTCGCAACCTCGCTGATTTGTTCTACTTCTCAATAGATTCGTAATCAGATTTTGTCCACAGGACATCGGTCGATCCTAGCGATGTCCTCGCGTTTTGTTCTCAGCCCCACGGTGTGGTGCTTGTTCGGGGCAATTTGTCGGAAGCCCTTTGAATGGATCCGACTCACATCCAGACATCGCTGGAAACGAGGGATTGAGCGACATTCGGCTCACTTTGCTCTAGAGAGAGAACACGATGGATTGACAACACAATGTTCATGAAGCCGCTGGCCACACAGGCGACCGGTAGGCGGGTCGGAAGTTTGACTGGCTGACATTTGCTCGGCGAAATTCATTGTTCGGAGTGTTTGGATACGTTTTCCTCTCCCCTGAGTCTTTTCCGATCCGCTCGCCCTATCACAACCCTCACGCAGCGAGGAAACGAGCGCTGATTGTTGGCCACGAAAAAAAATATGCACCTGCTGTCTTCCCCCGAGACGACTCCGCGTTCGAGGCGTTGGCGTGGATCGAAGAACGAAATCGTGACGGAAACACGACAATATTCGTTTCATGGTCGGCTGTACCATTTTCTTTCGAGTTCTGCTTATGTTTCTTCAGCCAAACTTTCCATCAGATCGATCGCATTATGGTTCTAGTACCGCGAATCCCATCGGAATCTCCATATGAAGCCATTTGGTAGCTTTCTTCGTCCTTTCTTTTTGCAAAACAATAATGTACGCCTCTGCTGCGATGGAACACCATTCAGTTTCTATTCCAATTTTCCGTCCCATATGGAGGAATTCGATCCCGTGCGGCCTCGTTGTGAGTGAAGTTGTGTCCTGTGTTTCGGGTACGTTTCTCACGCCTCACGCTCATCGATCCGCATACCTTACCTCCAGAATAACATACATGCATTCGAGGCAGGAAGGCGAGCCGCTCAGATTCGCTTATGCGTCAAGCTGGAAACGATAATCCTCGGTCTGAGTATTTCATTAGGACCGCAAACGTCTGATCACCACAAACCCGACGGAATATCTCCATGTATTTAGCCATGTCCTAATGTGATCAGAGTCCAATGCGGGATGTCGAAAGCAGTCGAAAAACGTCGAAAGTAGTCAGCTGGGGAAACTTACCAAATCACAGAAATTCCGTGACCTTCATCGCTCGGTGACGCTCCCGCAGCGTCTGATTCCTCCACCGTTCTCTGGCGGCTCCTCGAACAATGAGCAATCCCAGAGCTCAATTTTTGAGGAAAAAATCCCGCATCTTTTCCCTCCCCTCTATCTCTACCGAAAATAAACGCCTAGTGTAATCATCTCCCTTTCGTTCAATGTCGATGATCCGAGAGTCTCTTCTACCTGGCTCAGCATGCGACGGACAGCGGACGAGACTCGGAGAAAGGAGAATCCAAGTTCCGACTAGCTCTCAAAGTGAATTGTCCTCTCTCTGCAGGCTATGCAACTTGAGTCTGACTCGGGTTCGTCTGTATCGGCCTCTGGAGGGTGATGTTTCCTCGTTCACAATCGCCGTGAAGATGCAGTCGTCGAAAAGGGCTCCCACACGCTCCTCTGACATTCCGTACTTGCCAGCAAACTATCCCGAAGACCCTCACAAGGTACGTACGTGCTCGTCCGACGCAGCTCAGTCGAGCTGCGGGAATTCTTGTTTCTCTTTCGGTTTTCCCCAGGCGATATAATCTCGAAACATATTCATAGATATCGATGCACGGCACACCCGCTGAGAAATGCTTCAGAAACTTCCCGAATCCGTGCGGAAACGAGATTCTTCTTCCGAATGGCGTTCTTCGGCTTTTCTATTCCGCAGTGACCTTGGTTGATGAATTTATCAAGTTGGATGCGTTCGCGAATGCGTCTCAGACTTGTCAAAAAGGCTTACTGAGTGAGTCATCAGCGTGCGTCGGCTGGGCGACACGGTAGGCAACACCCTTTTGGCGCGAGCGATCCGCTTTTGTGATTCAATTTTTTTTTCACGGGAAGCATCGTCTTCGCGGTCGCGAGCCCTACACCCGAATGAGGGAATCCTGCCGCGAGCTCGGCTCTTCGCCAGTCCTGTATTCAGTACTGAGGATTCGGTCAAAAGTTGTGCATCGATTCACTCGCCAGGTTGCCATAGTCTGTATTCTTTGGAAACCGATTCTTATAATTCAACCCATGATGTGAACCCCGCGCCGGTGCCGCCATCCCAGTGATGATCCCCCGGGGAATCGGTGGCAAAATCTCGGCTGCCCCTCGCTCCGACATGTGTTTCGAATCTCTCATTGCTCGTCCGCGGAATTCATGTCGCTCATGTCCTCTGTTCGACCCTATCCTGATCGCAGCAATTTTATTTTTTCTGTCCCGAGTTCTGCTTCGATTTTGGTAACCTGATAATCTCGATCGAAGCAGACGCATAACACTGATTCGACCCAAACTCTCTGCTCGCCCCGGAATGATAGATGGCACAGATGCTGAGAGCAGATCAATTCGCGGATTTTCAGACTCGTTTCCGAACAAGAGCCGAGCGTGCTGATCGCTCGAGTGACGACTCGATATAGAAGTCGTTCCAGGATGCACAGCACAACTGGACCGACAAGTTTCATGAACATGGGATCAGTTCCGCTTGATGTGCCTCTTAAGCGCCGGCGTATCGCTTGGAATTTCAAGCTGACTTCCATTATCACAATGATCCCTGATATTGTCCCGTACCCCAAGTTTCTGCCACGAAGAGTCTCGTTAGCTTTGGACATGCCTCCGCGACGTGATCCATCCGACCAAGCAAGGCATTGTTGACGGCGACCCGAGTTGTCACACTTCCCCCCCTTGAAATCGATGATCATTTCGATCTCTCATGTTCAGAGTTCCGGACAACATACGAATGAGTAAAGCGGAAGCAAATTCGAAAAAAAGCTACTGCTAAGAATTATTTTCGATCGGCACGGCGTGGCGAGGATCGAGAGCTGAGATCGATCTATCTTGCCCCAATTAAGGTGGGTCTAGCCTGGGACGACCAGGGACGGATCATATCTCGCTACGGGAGCTTCCAATATCCAGCAAAATAATTTTGCGACGCAGCGAACGTGCCAGATCACGGGTAAAGACTCGTGCAGCATATCTTGAAGGTCGCCAGTCGCACAGATGCGGTGAACTCGAGATCATTGACTTGGAGACCTCTCCGCGATACGTTCAGGCCACTTATGATCTCTCAGGCGGGCGCTGAATGAGATTTAATCGTTGATTCTCCCCAGCAATCACCCGACTGGGGAGTTCAGCCCTGTATTGGCCTCATTCGTGATTCGAATTCCGGTTGAGATGTTTTGAAGCATGTTAGGCTAAGAGCCAAAAATGAAGCTGTCACCGATCGCCTTGGCCCGCGGTACTTCATCTTGAACACCGGCTAACATACGTAGGTACATAGACTCTTAGCGCCAAGCTCGCTCACTCGAAGAACGACGACGGTTCACGAAGCACGTCAAGTCGGGCCGGGTTAGTGTGGTGTTCTGAACGCAAACCTGGCACTTCCAACCTTGAGCCGAAGGTCATTGCGCGACGAGCTAAATTGCATCATTAGACAGACTCTAACGATCCCAAACCGGCTATTTGTTTCCTTGCCTTGTCGCGTCTACGCTTGCGATCCTGCAATATTTCATCCTTGCGAACTCGGGGACGATTTGAAGTCAGAGGGTCATTGAGACCCGGGAGATTCCGGATTGATGCCGAATCGGGTCGGTCTGGAGTTCTAACTACGGAAACTACGGAGTTACGGTCTCTTCGCCGGTCCCCGAGATCGCTTTTTTTCGCGAACGAATTCTGTCGCTGTGCTAATAGTTTTCCCTCGACTTGCTTTCTAGGTTTTCGACTGCGAGCTCGACCTACAGTTCTCGCTGCAGTATCCGCATTTTATCAAACGGGGCGGAAACCAGCTGGTCGTCATGATTCAACGGAAGAAAAAATACAAAAATCGGACGATGCTCGGCTATAAAACCTTGGCCCAAAACTCTCTCAACATGTGCGAGGTAAGTTGCACTCGGCCGACAACAAAGGCTACCGGAGTGACAATGACACGCAGCCGCCGCCAGCGCTTGTTTTCGTCTCGTTTACATTTTTGAGTTTTCGCCGGGGCGGACAAAGTTCCGTCCTTCTGTTGATGTTGAACAGCCTCACATCCGAGTTGGCTACGCCGCAGCTTAAATCTTATTCCGAGTTCGGCTTCTGAAAATTCGCTGTGGCTTCAGCTCTGAGAACAAACATGTTTCCCAACGTGTTTTCAATGCTCCAGCCGCCTACGCATACCTACTTGTCGATATCGGAAGCTCGCCGAATTTGCGTAAACTGAAAGTCTGATAGTCTCATCTAGCAGGAGATTCGTCAGGTAACTCTGTCCGGGAAATTCAGCGGAAAAATATTCCATGGGCTCGCCAAATCAGTCATCACCCGTGATTTCGTGCTTATAGTCATCGAGGCGTCTGATGTCCTCAGCTCATGTTCGATTATATGTCCCAGATTCTCATGTCCCGGTCTTCAGTTTGGTGGCGGAGAATATTATTGAAGATGGAAAACACTAATCCGCTTAAAAAAATGAATTATGCTAGTAAGAAAAGAAGGAGGAGGAAAAGGGTGGGGACGGCATGGATGCGGCTACAGCGAAGAACTTCCATGCTCAAAAACGGAAAATGAATTTCGGCGGTGCAGGCGAGGAGCTGGGGACAGAGGTAGGGGAGAAATGCGTGTTTGAGAATCGAGATTATTCATCGAGATAGCTCAGCGCTTGTTGGAACGAGCATAAATTAGCTTCAGAGCGACACCCCCCGCATTTTTTTTATCTCTCGCGAACAAGTGAATTCAGTGGAGAAGCTTCCTTTCGCCTAGCCCCTGGCTGGAGATTCGAGCTCTCGATCGAATTGTTTTTTTCTTGCCGCTGTCTTCGCACCGCTGGTCGACATCGTTGGCTAGATTGGACAAAGCAGCGCGACGCGGAGATCTCGGCGATGTTCTCCGCCAACCCAGCGTCACTCCAGGGAGGCAGATCGTGAGTTTTCCGAGAGACTTGGGCCGATCGAGACACGGCACAGAGCTCTCGGGCCACGTTTCCGCAATCGGCCCCGAAGACACGGCGCGAATAATCCACCGGCGCCGGAGAACCTCCGTAGAGACCCCTTCCCCGAGGCAAAACTCGATGGTCGACGCCCTATCTTCAACCCGGTACGAGGATTCGGATCGCGCCGTCATTAAATTCGCAGTGGTTTCGGACAGGATCTCATTTCAGTTTCCAAGTCTCCCGCATCTTGTCCGAGGGTATGGGATTGCCTACTCGCGAGTCGTTTATGTCTCGCACGAATCGTCAGCCACGGAAGAAGCCGGCTGACCTGTCCACTGGTTCATTATTTCCGTAAAAAGTCACATCGTTCGGCTGCCGTTTCGGCGTCTGGCGGACGATGACGATCTATTCATTGTCATTTCGACTTCCTACTCCAGAAGTTTATTCTCAAAACCGTCGCTCGTTGGAAGAATCGCTCCCTTGCCGTCTCGAGTCACCTGCGGGCGCAGAACGCGCTGATATTCGTCAGCGTGAGACCTCATTATCGGCCTCGTAAGGTCACGGGACGAAAAGAGAGTTCCTTCGAGGCTGACCTACTGAGGTCCTAATTATGGAACATTATCAGCGAGAATTGATTCAGACAAAATTCAATCAGCCGGCGATGCGGAAGCAGCTCCGAGCTTGACGGGAGAACGATGGATTACACGACTAGATCCAAACGGGTTCAGACGGAGCTTTCCATCTCTGTCTGGGCCAGCTTCGTTTGCATGAACGAAGTGCATACATTGAGCGTACAGACAGCGCAGCGTGACGAGCGTATGCTACGGAACTCTGTCTGGAAAGACATCGCGTGTCTACACCGAGACTGCGTGCCGCCCCGGATCTCGGGCTGTGGTGCGGACGACCTGAGCGAATAACTAAGAAACGAACGAACAACTTAAACACTCATCCACCCACTGGACCAGCCCACGGGGTTTACGTCGGCCTCGATGAATTCTATCGCAAGCGAGTCCGGGAGAGGAGAGAGGTGCCCGGGCATGGGTCCGGTCACCTCTGCAGGTTGGCGCGCGACGAACTCTGGATTTGCGTCGACTGATCCGAATGTAGAATCGCGCTGTGCGCCAGAGCCAAGCGAGCGTAATTCCGAAGCGAAAACATGTACTCATTCAGATTTGTTGGCTCGTTTCCGTAACGTCCGTGCACAGCCGATGTATGCCTCGCTGAACATTGTCCCTGTCAACTTCACAGGTCCTCCAAGGTCCAGTCGACAAGGAGCTACACCTGTACGAATCGAACGATAATCCGGACAAAGAGAAGCGAACCCCAATCGCGGTGCTCACGATGGGAAGTCTGAGTACTCAGCCTGTCGAGGAAAGCGGCAAGAACATGACCATTACGGAGAGATTCTCTGATGATGATTCAGAGGATAGCAGTGAAGTTTCGGATGTCGAGGAGAGCAGACGCCGGAGAAGTCTCCGAAAGAACAACAGACGAGGTGAGTGTTCACCGTACGGCGCGGTAGTCCCTAGCTAGTTTGGGATTTAGAGGAATTAGGGTCCCCTCGATTGCACATGGCCCTCGACCAAAGCCGTACAGCCCGCTCACTAACCCAGTGGGCGGATGCTGCGAGCGATATCATGTAGGTAAGCGCTCGGTGAAAAGTGAAGATGCATATTATGGAACGAGCGAACAAAGCTTCCAACTATCTAGGGCCTCCGTTTTAGCTCGAGGACTTGTCCTGGAACGGCTGCATCACTAGCAAAGCGAGAGCGTCTCCAGAGGCTTTTCAGAATTCATTCAACTGGAATTTATTGTTGTTGAACCCCCTCGCTCTCGAAGTTGGACTCATTCTTGTGAGACCTGCACAGTCGAATCCGATTCATAGTCCTGATGTTTACGTTACATCGCGGAATCCCGTCCTGTTCTGGTTCACTCCCGTTCTTCAGTCTCATCGATTCGGTGTGCATCCGGGGGACAATTTCTGCGAACAATTTCGGGAATCGCGTAAAATCCCTGACCCTCCGTGGAATAGTCCGATCGAAAGATCTTTCTGAAGTTTATTCACAGCTCCGATACCGGTGTGGCCTTGTGATGTTCTCAAATCAACAATATTCGCTCGGATGCTTTTCCCCGCGATCTTTTCAGTGCTATAGATTTGAGAAGTCATTTCTGCCAGTCGGCTTTTGAGCGGGGATTTGAGAATTTCCGTATAATTTCAGGCTCGTTGAAGACGATTCTATCGCCAAACGCCGAGGAACAACCCACTGGAGGAGGTGCCAACCAACGGAATATCAAACAGAAGTTTATCGCCTTGTTGAAAAAGTTCCGAGTGGCAGATGATGCGGAAGCGTCAGATGGCGAACAATCGGCTTGCGACGTCGCTGCCGAGGACAGGCGCCGGTTGGAAGATCTCCTGTTCGATGAACTGTCCAACTTGTCTGACCTGTCTGCTGGACCCGAGGAAAACGACGATCTCTCAATAACGTCAACACCGAAGCCCTCTCTGCGACCGTTCTTCTCGAGTTTGACATTGGTACCACCGAACCCAGATGGTGAGTTCCATTTCCCTTCATCAGCGAATGCACAGATGCCTACTTTGTTCGGCCTGGTTCGTACCTCGGACCGGCTTCAGTTTTTTGACCAGCGATTTTTTTTGGTCGAGTTTTCGCTTCCAGTGCGCGTTCTCTCAGAGCTTCTTGTTCTCCATAATCTATGTATATGATATGATCAATGGTTTCATGTCTTTCACGGAGACGCTGTCCGGCGGTGGCACAGTCTCGTGATTGGGCCAGACCTTGCCAGTTTTTGCCGAACTCTGGCAGCGTGCTTGTAGCTTACCGAGAGGGATATCAGCGAAATGAGAGAAGAACTGAACGAGAACGCAGGCGAAGATGCATCGGTTCCTCTGAAACAGACGCTGCCCGATTGGCAGGCGACCAAATTAGGTCTCGGTCTGATTTTTTCGTTCGGACTTCGAGTTGGAAGCAACTCACGAGGACCAGCTCGAGCGCACCGCGCGGCGGGGGGGAAACTTTTTTGCGGTGGAACACTGGAATTTCACGGAGGTTTTTCTGATGGCCGACTGTTTGGCTCCTCGGCAGGCTAGAGACAGGAGTCTGAACCCCTCGCCGGTAGAGCGTATCCTGAAGCTTTGACGTCTGGAATCCATTTCTTGACGTCACCGAGCCTAATTGATCGCGCGGAGAGCTCGATCGGCTTGTTGGAGCTTGGAGGGAGGGAGCGTGCTCTTAGACGTCGCTCGGGAATGGCTCCGAATATCCTAATCACGGCTTGAATCTAAGGATCCCTTCCCGCTCCATCAACTCTATGCCCCGCCCGCTTCCATCTCTGCGATTCGACCGGAGGGGTCGATAATAAGAGACACACTTGAAGGGACTGCAAAGGCGGCAATGGACAACATTCCGAATTGTCAGGTCCGACAAGACTGTCTTCGCTCTGATTTCTTCTTCAAGGTTGGATACGACCTAAGGGAACGGTGATACGAACTTCCGAATCGGATGATCCTACCGGATTCGCGTTGTGCGCGAGTTCTCAATCGAGTGTTCCCAAATGTGCTGTGGAGTTCTCCTAATCGACTGTGAGAACACGGTCGGATTTACTATTCAGGGCTCCCATGAGTTTCGCGACGAACCGCAATGGCTGCGCCACTCCGAGAGCTCGATACATGATTTGTGATTCCACAATTTCATCGTCCACGGAATCGCTAATGAACGAGAGCGTAAGCGGGCGAATGAGAGTTCGGGTGCGAGCTACGGCTACGGAGTTTGATTGCGTGACCGCCTAGTCTGGGCTTCCGCCACGTTCGAGCGACGCTCCCTATTCCCTATATTATTTTTTCCTCGTGGTCGCTACCACGGATCGGAATTGTTCCGCTCTCAATGGTGGCTAGTTTTCCATTCAGAAGTTAATTCGCGACCGGACGCCTGTCGTCGCGGGGCTACTTCTCTCGAAAAAATCCTGAGCGCAATTGTCACGGACTCCTGTGGAAGCCTCCTGCGCTCGAACTACGTATCTCGCGGATCTTCCATCCTGAATATAAAATTCTGAAAAAAGCCGCGCGTAGACTCGTGGTCACCTGCGAATGCTAATGGGAAGGCCACATTGACTTGCCGGAGGCCTTTCGTGGAGATTCCTCTCGTTTTCAATTCTCTCTTCCACCGCGCCTCGTTCCCCCGAGTGATCCGACGTAGAGCTCGCGAAGGTCGACGGAAAAAGCGTCCGCCGTCCTCGACGACGTCGACGACCGCTGCCATCTCCAACAGAGTCGGCGAGTACGACAATGAGGATGGAGCTTTAAACCAATTGGCGTGCTTGGAGGCTCCCAATGTCCGAGCTCATTACGGTTGTATAAGGCCCAATCCAGTTAACATCGTTGGAACTTGGGATCTTTAGGCGTTCCCGTGCTTCTGCGCAGCGCCAGGAGCGGCCGCAGCAGCGACGATAGATGAAGGCGGAGAGCGAACTTGTTTTCAGCCCGTTGAGAGATATTTTTAGCGTGCAGGCGAGTCCCCGATTTTATTGTCGTTGATGTCGGTGTTGGACTCCTGGCATCGAGAGAACGCCGAGGTTCTCCGGCCGACCGCGCTCCCACCGAATGGGGGGCGTCCGTGTGACGCTGAAAGTTGCAAGACTCGCGGCCCTCTGTAGGTTGTTCTGATTCAGAGAGCCCCGACCTCGATGCGATGCGTTGCAGAGTCATTGCGAGAGAGGTCGAATGTTCCGAGCGGAAACGTACCATTGAGATATCAATGGCGGATCTGAGGAATGGTTTCCTGTGTCGAGTCTGTCGTACCTAGCGTGCCGGAGAATGAATTTATGCTTCAGCTGTTCTGCGAATCCGATTCGATTAGGATTCCATAACTCGACGATGGACCCGCCCTGGGTCTTATCGAGGGAAACGCTTTCGAGAGTCGAGTAATCCAGAAGGGTCGTAGTAATTCGGAATCGCTCGGAGCGCTTCTCCCATTCCTCGTTCCATCTCGAGACTCGACGGCGAATGTTGACATTCGCGAGGACAAGTTGGAAGGCTGGCAATTAAAGGCTCTCATGTTGTTTACTTTCAGGCATCTCGAAGTCGCCGACAAACTTTATTCCTCCCACGAGAGTTTCCGCGAGTGAATCCGACGAATCGGCTTGCGATTCGACTCCCGACGATAAGAAGCTCTTCCAGGACGAACCGGGACTTCCTACGAGCTGTTATCTGGTCCACTCGACGGAGAGACACTCTCAGATCGTCTCGACATCACTGAAATCTTCCGTCAAAACGCTGTCGTGCGTCTCTACGGGCGCAGAGCTAAAAGCTGCTCTCAGCGCGCTGCTGCAAAGAGTTCAGAACTTTTGCAACACAAACTCGAGGAACCCGACCTCAATCAAGGTCGTCCTCATGGGCAGCGATAGCTTCGTCAACCATTTTCTTCGGGCGTACGTTGAGCAGTTCTCGCTTAAAACTCCGGAGTGGATGACGTATTTCCGCTTTTTCCTCATACCTCTCAACCCACACGAGGGCACCATCGCGCGGTGAGTGAAACGGAAATAGCGGGAGAAAAATTGATAAGCTCCAAACTAAACGAGTTGGGCCGATCCACGCGTATGCCTATATCCAGTACGGGAATCAGGAGCTCCCCACCCAGCGTTCCCCGGAAATTCGTACGTTTTCCTCGTTGGGAGCGATGAGACTTACGTGTATCAGTCTCCCACACCGTCACTCGCACGTAGTCTCGAGGCGAACGTCACGCTTCAGAGAGGAACCCTCCGTCTTCTGAATTCGAACATTGAATTGAACGAACAGACGCTCCGGGAAAAAAGTCCTGTCCATCGAGGAGCGGGCTTTGCCTCCTTCGCAGCCCCGCGACAAGTTTCATTTATAGAGGCTTATATTACTCAGTCAATCAGTCAGCGATTTGTGTCGGGGAGCGGTCCGAGATTGATGGTCGAGTACCTTCGGATCCCCTTCAGCGATTGGAGAGCTCTTCTAGGATGTTGATCCATCCGTCTCTATTATGCTTCATTTCCTCTCCCATGGTCCTCATCGTTCTCACCCAATACGCCTCGTGTGTGCTCTTCTGACATGAGCCGATCTGCGCAGATCTCGGAAAGCGCAAGAAAATCCCACGTAGCGCGGGGAGCCTTTTAAGCGCGGTAGTCGCCGATCTGAGGGCTGAAAAATCAAGATTCCTAAGCTGATTCTTCTCCACAGTTATATATCGTCGGTGGACTCGAGTTATCCGTTCGCGGAGCAGTCATGGTTTGATGCTTTAACATCATCGCACGAAAACGAAATCCAGCAGAGGATCGCCAAATACGTCAACAATACTATCACTTCTGTCATCCAGCTGCCCATAGCGGAAGTAATGCTCACCCTCTGCAAACAGGACTCGACTCAGGTACGGAACGATTCTCAGTTGGTCAGGCCCTAGCAGTCATTCTCCCATTCGTTATTGTCCCGGTCGGTCAAGTCACAGTTGCGTATGCATGCATGCATGAGGCGTTCGGGGCATCATAAACGGGACAGGAAGCGAGTCCTACGTTGGCGTGTGAGGATCTGATGCGGCGAAAAAAAGTAACGCTCTAAACGCGCTGTTTTCCCATCACTTCCCTTATGTCGTCGCACCGATCTGAACGATGACTCGCAGCTTGGTCAGGCGCTCGTTAACTCGGTCGACCGGCCTATCGCCTCGACTCGAGTCGGTCGGTCGAGCGAGACGCCTGAATTGCTGTGTCTAATATTCGCATATCCACGACCTCTGAGTGGCTACCTCACAAAGTATTCATTCTGAAGGGTCAGATGAGAGCTCCTGAATTGATGACGAACGAGGAGTGCTCGGTCGGAGCTTATATCTGGAGCGCCGCAAAAATAGCGCTCAATAAATTATTCAGTACATCGAGACGGAGCAGAATGTTTCGCCGCACAGATGAGAGCAAAGTTGTCTGGCGATGACCGGCTGAGTTAACTAATCCAGCAAAGGGCGATCAGTAGATCTAGCGTCTGATCAGAACGCGAATTGAATTCGATTTCCTCACAGGCATTCGTTCCGTTCGTGACCGAAGTTCGGATCGAAGGGGTGGAAGACAGCTCGCCTCCCGGAGCGGCGAACGACAAAGTTACGCCCCCCAACTCCCCGGCACAACAGCAACAACAGGGTCTCAAGGATCGGGACGGCGCTCCGTTGGCCAGACCCGAGCCTCATTTCGAGCCCATGGAGCTCCAGATCGACTTCTGGACTGTCAGCAACAAGGAGTCGAACAAGTGCACCTTGAAAGGCACATTCCGACACCTTCAGGTGAGGGACGCCGGAGTACAGGTCCGAGTTTGGCTCGGATTCAGGATAATATTCCGAGAGTTGAGCTTGGAGTCTCTGTCTGATCGTCATTATCTATTTTATATTCAAGGTTCGACGACTCCCTCCATCTCATCTGTTGACTTTGAGCTACTCGAATAAAGAGAAAAAACAGAAGGTCATGCGTCTCGGCAAGAAGAAACCTTCAAATGCGAACGAAGAAACCCCTCACAAGTTCACAGAGGGAGTACAAAGACTCATTTGTTCATCCAAGAACGCGCCTTTGAGGGTAAGCTCACGAATTCCGAACACATACATGTAGATGAGCCTCCCGCTAAAGGTCTTCATCTCTTTGTCATCGCTCCGGTGTTTCTGCGCTTCACCGCGGGTCAGACTATTATTCCCAGCCCCCGGGTTTTCTTTCTTTGAGTAGAAATCAGATTGGGGTCTCCCGTACCTTCCTCCCGCTTTCCACATCTTCTATATATAAAAACGTATGTCTGTCTGTTTGTTTGTCTGGTGTCACCTATAGACTCGAAAACGGCTGAACCGATCGTCGTGAAAATTTAGGAGCGTGTTCTGGGCGATCCAGCGGTGGTTATAGGGGGGTCAGTTCTTCGATGCAATGAATCCTTCTACCTTAAAAAAATTATTTGAGTGCTCCACCCACGAAAATCCGAAAACTCGGAAAAAAATTGAAAAATCCGAAATTCGCAAAATTCAAAAACGCCTGAACCGATCACCGCAAGAATTTTGGGGTGGGTTCTCGGGAGTTGTAGAAAAGCGATGAGGGGGTCGTCGTGCCCGTATGATGAGGGTGAGCTCTTTTCCCCTTGGAAATCGAGTACCGGGTCCCTGACCGGAAATCGTTCGGCGGGAGTTTCCAGAGTTCTCCAGAATTTTCGTGATTTCTTCACATCTATATATATAAAAACGTATGTTTGTCTGTCTGTCTGTCTGGTGTCACCTATAGACTCGAAAACGGCTGAACCGATCGTCGTGAAAATTTAGGAGCGCGGGGAAGGGAAAGCGGGGAAACGGGAAAGCGGGGAAACGGGAAAGCGGGGAAACGGGAAAGCGGGGGAAAACGGGAAAGCGGGGAAACGGGAAAGCGGGTATGCGGGGATGCGGGAAAGCGGGGGAAAACGGGAAACGGGGAAACGGGAAACGGGGAAACGGGAAACGGGGAAACGGGAAAGCAGGGAAACGGGAAAGCAGGGAAACGGGAAAGCAGGGAAACGGGAAAGCGGGGAAACGGGACGCTCACCAAGAGCACGCGCGACCAAAGCAAGCGCACCCGGAGCCAGCGCACTCGGAGCCAGCGCACTCGGAGCCAGCGCACTCGGCGTTAGCGCACTCGGCGTTAGCGCACTCGGAGCCAGCGCACTCGGAGCCAGCGCACTCGGCGTTAGCGCACTCGGAGCCAGCGCACTCGGAGCCAGCGCACTCGGAGCCAGCGCACCCGGAGCCAGCGCACTCGGAGCTAGCGCATGTGTAGTGAGTCTAGCGCTCCCGGTCGCCGCTAATGGGAAAGTGGGGAAATGGGGAAAGTGGGGAAATGGGAAAGTGGGGAAATGGGAAAGTGGGGAAATGGGAAAGTGGGGAAATGGGAAAGTGGGGAAATGGGAAAGTGGGGAAAGTGGGAAAGTGGGAAAGTGGGAAAGTGGGGAAATGGGAAAGTGGGGAAATGGGAAAGTGGGGAAATGGGAAACTGGGGAAATGGGAAAGTGGGGAAATGGGAAAGTGGGGAAATGGGGAA